CGAGTCACCTTCCAGCCCCTAAGGCCATGTTTTCCACTTTCCTTCTGGGGGTGCTGAGCGCCGGCCCACAGCCACCTGTGCCTGGGAGTCCTCTCCTGACACACGAGCTTTTCCCTCCCACAACTCCCCCTCTCCTGTATTACCCATAGCTGCCTGTCTACCAGGTTGTCTGTCATCCTACAAAGTGCAGTGTTGCAGGTCTCAGAACAAGATACTCTGTCCTCACTCCACAATGTCTTCCTTTCCACAGAAAAACTCTTCCCCCCCAAGTCATCTAACTTATGATACCACATTCTCTTCTCACATACTCTCTTAAACCTACTCTCCTTGGGCTCTGTCCCCAACATTCCTCTGAAAGAACTCTTGTCAACAGCACCAACAACTCCCAGGGGCCCTTCCTCTTGTCTCAGAGGTCACTCCTCCCAGTCCCCTGCTGGGGCTTTCCTCATCTTTCTGACCTCCACTACGGGCATGCCCCATGGTTGAGGCTCTGGGACTCTTGTCTTCTGTTTCTGCACCCATCCTCTACACGAACTTACTTACCCTCCTGGCTCTAAAAACTATCCATATGCTAAAAGCCTCCCATCTTCATGTCTCCAGCACTGACCCCTTGCCTGAATTCCAGATGGTTATACCCAATTGGCTACTTGATGTCTCCTCTTGGAGGTCTAACAGACATCTCAAACTTAACACCTCCAAAACCAAATTCTTGTTTCATGCCTTTTCCCCAAAACCAAATGTACTTTACCCTGATTCTCTCATTGCTCTAAATGGCAATGCAAACTCAGACCAAAAATCTTGGAGTCATCTTTGACTACTCTCTTTCTCGCAAACTCCACATCCAATTCACCCGCAAATCTTGTCACTTCTACCTTCAAACCATATCCAGAATCCAAATATTTTTTTCGTTACCACCTTTGTTACTACTCTCCTGGTCGAAGTCATCCGGTCTCCATTGAAGTGCCTGGTCTCCATCTTTCCATCCTTACTCTCCTACAATTTATTCTCAACGCAGAAGCTGAATTGAACCTTTAAAAAGTCACGCCAGGGGCTGGCCCGGTGGCATAGCGGTTAAGTTCGGCACACTCTGCTTTGGTGGCCCAGCTTCGCAGGTTTGGATCCTGGGCATGGACCTATACCACTCATCAAGCCATGCTGTGGCAGCAACCCATACACAAAATAGAGAAGATTGGCACAGATGTTAGCTCAGGGCTAATCCTCCTTAAGCAAAAAGAGGAAGACTGGCAACAAGTATTAGCTCAGGGCCAATCTTCCTCACCAAAAAAAAAAAAAAAGTCATGCCAGATCAAGTCACTCAGTGACCTTTGAAGGGTTAAAAATAAAACTCACAGGCCAAAAAGTCCTTATCCTGTCCTACCGGGTCATAGGTGGTCTGGCCTCCTGCTGCCCTCTGAACTTCTCTCCTATTCCGCCTCTCTCAACGCTGCATTCCAGCTCCAATGGCCTCCTCACTGCCCCTGGAACAGGCCAAGGGAATTTCTGCCTCAGAGTACTTGCATCTGCTATTCCCTTTGTCTGGAAAACTTTTGCCCCAGGAAGTCCTATGGCTTGATCTTTCACCTTCCTTAGGTGTCTGCTGAAATGTCACAGATGCTCCTAGTGCTAAGGAACCGGGAGAGAGGAGAGGCAGCAGAAGGCTGAGAAAAGCCACTCGAGTACTCATTGAACCACCACTTACAGTGTTTACTGCATATCAGACACTGTTCCCAGCACACCCCACGGATTAGTAAATTGCGTGTCCTTCATAGGTCACAGAGCAGGTAGTAATAGCTAACATTTACTGAGTGCTTACCATGTGTCAGGCATTGTGCTAAACACACGGTAAATATGAACTCAATCCTCATAACAACCCTGTGAGATAGGTGCTGCTATTATCCATGTTTTACATTTGAAGCACAGAGAGGTCAAGCAACTTGTCCCACGTCACCCAGCCAGTGGATGGTGGAGCTGGGTTTGAACTCAGAGCTTAACCACTGATGCCACTTGAGAGAAGGGGTAGGGCTTAAGTGGAGCCTTTAAAGGGGGCTGAGCAGGCATTTCCCAACGCTAAAAGAAGCAGAGTATTCCTCCCCAGGCAGAACGCATTGCTAGTACCCAGGCACAGAGGCAGGCAGGCAACCTTCACACTTTCCAGGAAGCAGCTGTGGCAAAGAGTGAAGTGCGAGGTTGATAAAGGGAGCTGGCCGAGGAGCGTGAGGATAAACTGTTATTCGGGCATCTGCAGAGCAAGGTTCGTCTGGCTGTTTCTCCCTGGAGATCGAGAGTGTGAGCCGTCCGCTCAGGAGTCTGGAAGTGAACGCTGTGGAAGTTGTTGAAGTCTTTCAAGTCCTTTAAATCCTTATTGGTCCGGCAGCCACGGAACTTTGAAGGAGGGGGTGGGGTGGGAAAGGAAGCCGAGAAAAGGCAAGCGAGCGATAAAAAGGAGGTGCAGTTTCTAAACAGGGCTCGCGTTCTCTCCTCCTTTCCTGCCCAGCCTCTCCTCCAACTTCGCCTGGCCAACCCCGCTTTAGACCCCATGGCCGACCACCGATTCAGCCCCGTGTCGGAGGAGAAACCCTGCTGCGACATCTCCAGGAAGGCCTGGATCTGGCTCTGCTTGTTTCTCTGTCTCGTGGTCTTGGGGGTCATCGCAGTGGTGATCGGAGTCCTGATGTGGCCCCGGCCGCTCAAGGAGTGGAAGGGGTCGGGCACCACTGCCCATTTGCGCGAGATCGTGCTGGGGAGATGCTACATCTACACTCAAATCATGCGGCCTGAGTTGAGGTGAGTTGGCGTCTGTGGCCCACGGCCGGACACCGCGCGCGGTGGTCACTGCGCGCGTCTGGGCACAGCCGGGCACAGCTGGGCACAGCTGGGCGCCGCGCGCGGAGCAGCCGTCGAGATTGGCCGAAACAAAGCAAGGACTGTTCTGGGTCAGCCGAGAGCCCGCTGGGCAGTGCTGAGCAGGAAGTCTCGGGCTTGCGATTCCGCGCGCCGCTCGCAGGAGCGGGTGGCGTTGGCCCCGAGCCGGCCGGCGGAGAGCGCGCTGCTGGTTGACCCGGCCCAACCCACTCAGCTGGTGAACGCTTGGCCGAGATGCCCGCCTTCTGGGCACGGCGCCCTGAGCCGGACTCGGCGCTCACAGCCCTGCTGCAGGGATGGAAAAAGACCCGCAGGTGCTGGGGCGGGAGGGGGCGGGCAGGAGGTTGCTGGCATTGTCTGCTTGGCTTGTGGTTTCTGCTAGCCGTCTCCGACTGCAAAGTGCCCCGGACGGTTACAGATGACACCTGGTTAAGTGGCTTGAGGAGCCTGCGGTAAGGGGATGGCGTCAGAAGGGCAGACCACTGAAATGAATTTCATTCATTGGTATAAAACAGCACCCCGATTCTTCTTGCCCACCGTGAAGTGAATGTGATAGAGAACTCATTAACAACACAAAACAAAACAATAACCATGTTACAATTGAGATATAACTTATACGGTAAGGTGCATTAGCTCGAGGAATCTGTCCAGACCCTGGAAACACCACCCACATCAGTCTATGGCACCTTCCCGGAAGGTTCCTCGTGCCCACACCCAGCTAGCTACTAATTTCCTCCCAAAGGGAACCACTGTCTTGACTTCCATTCCCAGGGCGTGGTGTCACCTAGAGTACTCATTTTTGAAGTTGTACATAAAGTAGAACAAGCTGGGAAGTGAAAAGCTACTTCTCAGGCTGCCAAAGGCAGGAGGCGGAGCGGGGATTTTACGCTGTGAGCTGGAGATTGATTGCACAGTTCCGTCTCCACGACACCCACAATCTCCGCTCTCCGCCAGCGCTCAACGGTTCGGTTCTAATGTGGATACCGGAGGTCTTACCTGCAGATTGTTCAGGTCCGAAGATTGCCATGGTCACGTGAAGACTTTTGTTTACAGATAATTAAATACTTAATTGAGAGAGAAACCTTCAGGTTACACTTAGTATCGATTAAATCAAGTGAAATCCAATTTGAGATGGTAATGATCAAAAGCGATATTTTTATTTTCACCTTAATTCAACAGTTTAAAAATTTTTGTTGTTCAGCCATCCTTGGTAAATTCACACTGTTGCTTAGATTAGCACATCCGTATAGCAAGCAAGATGCACCATAGAAACCACGTGGCTTTCTAATGTTCATCAGGATGCCTGCTCAGTATTAAACACAAAGGTGTGTATCCAAATGTATATATACATGTGTTCAACATATTTATATGTGTGTATGTAGATATATTCAAAAATATTAACCAAGGATGTCTTCTGTTAATAATTTTTGAACATCCTTCCAGATATCTAACAGTGCACGTACACACACACTTTATATAAAAGGGTTAGTAATAATATGGTACTTAGTATGTACCAAGCACTTAAAAAAATATCAGATGGGGCCAATCAGCTGGTGCATAGTGGTTGGGTTCACAGGCTCTGCTTAGGTGGCCCCGAGTTCACGAGTTTGGACCCTGGGCATGGTCCTCCTCACCTCTCATCAAGCCGTACTGAGGCGGTGTCCCATATAGAAGAGCTACAACTCTACAACTATGATACACAACTATATACTGGGGCTTTGGGGAGAAAAAAGAGGAAGACTGGCAACAGATGTTAGTGCAGGGCCAATCTTCCTCAAAAAAAAAAACTGATAGTTTGGTTTAAAAAAAAAATCAGATCATTTAGTCCTTTAAAAGCTATATGAGGCCATTACTATTGCTGTCCATATGAGCAAACTGAAGTAGAGAGTTTGAGTAAATTGCCAAAAATTTGGCTCCAGAGACTGAACACTACACACTACTGCCTGTGTGTGTTCCGTAGGTAGGTAGAATGATCATAAAATTTATTGATCATGTCTGGAGACTTTTTGAAAAGAAGGGGGATGCTATTAATAATTATGCTGAGTCAATAGGCTTAAACAGGAAGACATGGTCACTTTATCTTCGGGTGGTTTAGCAGCGTGAACTCTGAAGTCTCGCTGCTCGGGTTTAAGTCTTGGCTCTGTCACATGGTAACTTTGGCGAGTTACCTTCTCTGTGCCGCAGGCTTCTCAACTATAAAATGGAATGATAGTACCTACCATTAAGTAGTACCTACTTAACGATACTACCTACCACAGGGGGAAATTATGAGGATTAAGAGGAATAATCCTGATATATAGTAAGTGCCCAGTGTTAATTTTTTTTGGAAATGCAGTATCACAGACATCTTTCAACAATAATAAATATAGATCAAGGCAACATCAAAACGGATGCCTAGAATTAGATTTATATAAATCATAATCCAATAAATCAGTCCTCCAATGATGGAATTTATGTTATTTCTAGTTTTTTACTATTCTTTTTTTAACTTAACACTTGGCCCTGGAGGTCTTTCAATGTCAGTATATATAAATGTACTTCATTGTTTTTAACAGTTCATAATATTCCATAGGGTAGATGTAATTGTTTCCTATTGACAGAAAATTATTTGTTTCCAATTTTCAGTCCCGTTCATTTGTTCAACAAATATTTGCTGACCATCTACTATGTTCCAGGCAGTGATCTAGCTACTGACAACACAGGAGTGAATGACGAAGTTCCCACTCTCATGAAGCTTTCGTCCCAGTTGGGAGAAACAGGCTGCCATGGATGTCTTTGTACATATATTCTTGTGGACACATGGAGGTGTTTCTGTAGGATAGATTTCTAGTGGTGGAATTGCTGTATCAAAGGGAGAATTACGCATGTTTTAAATTTTGATAAGTGTTTCTAAATTCCCTCCAAAATAACTGCACCATTTTATAGTCCCATCCCCATCTATCGGAAGACATGCTTTCCCACACTCTCTTCATTGCTGAATAGTATCAACTTTTTTTTTTTCTGAGAAAAATAACATCTAATTGTTCCCTGATTATAAGTGAGTCTTAGCATGTTGTATACATTTATTGGTCATTATATATTTTTTTTCTGTGAATTTCCTGTTCAGATCCTTGCTAGTTTCTACTGAATTGCTTGTTTATTTCTTTAAATGGGAATTCTTTATATACTGTAGATTATAGATATGGTGTTTTCTTTCTCTGTCTGTTGTCCTTATAACCTTTCCGATGTCTGTTGCTCCCCTCCCCAGACTTTAACTTCAAGGTCATGACTTTTGGATTAATAATTTGTTCCCTCTTTTTATGTCATTGAAAGTCTGGCATGCTGACTGTTTCCCTTGTAGTCATATTAAGAGGGTATCTCTTAAGATCAGCAATCTTTTCCCTGATGGATTCTGAAATCATCCCTGTGATCCTCTTCTAACATCCATCCCTTGCTACATCACTCTCTCCTGCCTTGGTCTTCTATATTGGCCAAAGCAGCAATTTATGTCAATTACTTGACGTGGTATTTCTACTTTGACATAGTGCTTCTTACCTTTGCAGGTCTTTGTTAAGACTATGTATTAACGTATAAAAATGTGATATGTGATACCAAGTAAAACAAAACCAGTGTAAAAATTACACATATAATAATTATAACAATTTAAAACTGAATGTAAAGGAGAAAAGTAAAATATGGCACTGCTGGGTTAACAACGGAATTATTGTAGGTTTCTTTCCTTATTATTCTTCAGTTTCAAATTATCTATAATTGGTATTTTGCTTAGCTATTACTACATAATAAACCACTCCAAAACTTAGTGGCTGAAAATATAAATCATTTTATTATTTCACAAGACTCTGTGGATTGATCTCGCTTAGCTAGGTGGTTCTTCTGCTGCTTGTGATGTTGGCTGGGGCTGAAGTCATCTGGGGACTCAACTAAGCTGGAATCTCCAAAGTAGATGAGACATCATTCTCATGAATGGCACCTTGGAGGGGTCAGCTGAAAGGCTGGTATCACCTGGGAGGCTGGAAAGGCCGAGTCTCTCTCTTCCTCCATGATGTCTCAGAGCCTTACAGTCACACCCCTGAAGTCTTGACTTGTGACCATGTTTTACTGGCAGCACTCTGGATGCGATCATGGCCTTGAGGCCATTTCTTACTTTGAAATTCTTTTACTAGGAAATACAGGGAATGACAAACAGTTTTATTTTCAAACCCAGCAAATCCTGACTTGGAAATATTTGCTCTTGATTCTGCTTAAAAATAAACAGTTCTTGTTTAGTTCATTTCTCTCTGTACCTTATCGTACACAGCTAAAAGAAATGAGTTGGCACTTTCAACATTGTGCCTGGAAATCTCCTTAGTCAAATCCATAAGTCCCTTAGGTATGTTTCTATTAGCTCCATTACTGCAGGTGACAGTATTACAAGCTTTCCACCACTACCTAACGTGGGTCACCTTTCTCCTAGCCTCCACTAATGATTTCCTCTGTGTCCATCCAGGCTTCACGAACAGTCTCCTTAAGGCCTTTTTCGCTTCTGCCTGCCTCCCAGTCCCCAATCTAATGCCACATTGTAGTATTCAGGTTCTCTAGAGAAAGAAAGAGAGCAAGAGACAGAGAGGAGATTGATTTTAAGGAATGGGCTCATGTGATTGTGGAGGCTGACGAGTCCAAAATCTGCAGGATAGGCAGGCAGCTGGAGACCCAGGGAAGAGGTGATGTTGCAGTTCAAGTCTGAAGGCAGCCTACCTGCAGAATTCCCTTTTCCTCCGGGGAGGTCAGTCTTTTTCTTAAGGCCCTCAGGTGATTGAATGAGGCCCATCCATATGATGGAGAGTCATCTGCTTTACTCAAAGTCCATCCATTTAAATGCGACATCCAGATGTGTTTGACCAAATACCTGGGTACCATGACCTAGCCAAGTTGACACAGAAAATGAACCATCATATGCGTGTTAGGTTTCTGTTATGCAGCGCCTCACTTCCACGTACCACTTTCTGTTTTGGTTATCTATTGCTGCATCATAAACTACTCTAAAATGTGGTGTCTTAAAACAACAACCATTTATTATGTTTCATGATTTCTTGGATCGTCTGGGATCAGCTGGATGGTCGGCTTCATGTGACGTCAGCTGGGACTGCAGTCATTGAGGGGATTGACTTGGCTGGAACATTCAAAATGTCATGCTTACATGATGGAGCCATGGCGCCTGGGATCAGCTCGGAGGGCTGGGCCTCTCTTTCTCTCTGTATCATCTCAGGGCTTCTCCTCCTTGTGGCCTATCCACATGGTCTCTCTATGGTGCAGCTCGATTTCTTCAGCATTCCTAAACTCAGAAGTGGAGCCTGGCAGGCCTTCTTAAAGCTTTAGACCCATAACTGACATAGCATCACTTCCACCACATTCTATTAATTAAAATAGTCATGAGTACAGCCCAGAATCAAGAGGAGAGAAAACAAACTCCACCCTTCGATGGGAGGAGTAATGAAAATTTTGTGGATGGCTTTAACCCTTCATGTATCTTTATGTTAGCTTTTTCATTTTAATTTTCTTCTCATATTTTTTGTTCTTCTGTTACATCTATTGTCTTTCTACTTTATTACCTTTTGTTAATTATATTTAAAAATGATAAAAATCTAATACATGTTTCTTGGAATATAAACTCGTTGAATCTAGGGACATTTTCTTGATGATATATCTCGAGGACCTAAAATAGTGCCTGGAATATAATAAGCAAAAATATTTAGTTGAATTAAATGAATGGTATGAAAGTCAGTGTATTACAAATAGAAACAAGCAAAGCCATAATAAATACACCTCCCCAACAAACTTTCAATACCATCACTCTCAAATCTATCAATTTCTATTTTGGGAAATAGATTACAATATAGATTGTAATATAGATTGAATATAGATAAAAATAGAAACAATATAGATTATTATTTTTTCTTTTATGTAAGAGCTTCTTGGTACTTCTTTGTAGGTTGTAGGACTTTATCTTCTTCACCTGTTCCTTTTTCTTGGTTTTCCTTTTCCAAAATATCTCCCCCCAAACTCACTTTCTGCCAGTCTATTAGTGTGGGTAGGCAAGTGTTTAAACTTGTCTCTGGTTATCAAGCTGGGCCTTTTTTGAGTTGAACCAGGATCATTAAATGCAGAACATTTCAGAACACATTATATCTTGCTCTCTTGTGCCAAGGTTCACACACGGGAGCTACCTCTGACCAAGATGGCCTTGGGCATACGAAACCCAAGAGACATGTGGCCAAGACTCACCAAAGTGTTAGCAAATTGTTAGCACTGACACCTTGGGGATATTGATACTGTGGCAGAGTGTCAAGTGTCCAGGCGACAGTCAGGACCCAGGGAACGTGCACGAGTGGAGCAGATCCTGCAGGAGGGAATGGAGAGCCAGCACCCAGAATAACATGAGCTTTCTAGGGAGGAACCTGGATGCTGTGGCTTCAGTTCCACGAATCTTCTCACCTTGGGGAGAACCAGCCCTTGCTGTGAACTGCAGGCATCAGTGCTAGCTGCTGGCTGTCTAGGGATGGGAGCAGGCTTTCTCTGACAGCTCTCCTCATCCCTGCCCCAAGACAAGCTGGGAGGGGGAGGACTGTTTTATTCACCTCTGGATCCCCCGTTATCCAGCACATTGCTCATCATGTTATAGTCTCTTAATAGACGCTTGCTAAATTCAACTCACGTAAGTCTACATCATGCTGGTTGAAACATAAACATTAATAGTGAGAGGCTTAATCAGAGAAAATTCTTCATCCATCTTACCCTATCATCTTCTAATGATCACTTCTGTGCCCACTTGGACTATCTTTTCTGATTCCTTTATGTTCATTTCGCAATATCTTTTTGCTTCTCCTTCCTCTTTAAAATTTCACAAGATTTCTCAGGGATCAAGTCTTCATTTTTACTTCCCCATGCCTCTCATTTTGATGACTTTAGCATTTTATTAACTTCTACTTAGTAAAATTTTTTAGTAGAAAATGTATAAAAGAGAAAATTCATACAAACACTTATTGAAAACTTACTGTGTGCCTGGTGCTGGGGCTAGACATGGGGGATTAGAGGGGAAGAAAACACGAGTCCTGCTCTCTAGAGTCCTGTAGAGGAGGTTGGGGAGGACCGGCCTGAAAACCGAGCACTGCAGGGCAATGTGATCTGTAGCAGCGAATAGGTTTATACACGGATGAGAGGAGCCCTGAGGAGGGAGGGGTTGCTTTTGTGCTGTTAGCCCTTTGCTAGATCCCATAGGGGTGTGTAAGATGTACTCAGGTACTATCAAACAAGAAAATACATGAATTGCTGTGAATCAAGTGCCAGCACAATACCACAGAGATTCAGAAATGAGCATCACTCACCTGGTGGGGTAAAGTCAGGAAGGACTTCATGAAAGAAGCAGCATTTGAGGTCTTCTTTCTACAATATAATTTCAACAAAAACGTGTTCTGCAGAGCGTGTGTTACCTTGTTGAATGAAGCCCTGGAGACAGATAAGATGCCGCGGCAGGAGGAGGATTGACTGATTGATGGCCCTAACTCTTTAAAGGTTGTGGGACCTTGGGGAGGATCCCACTGGCAAGAGGATCTGGACTTCATGTTGGCCTGTGCACAACCTAGACTTTCTCAGCACACAAGAGAGTATGAGAGTAAACATATTTACACAGGACAGAATTCTGGCATGTTTTCCCTTTGGAGCGATGGAATGACCACCCGCTCAACGTCTGTATTCCCAGTTAGACCATGAGCTTCATTCAAGCGTTGCACAGCCTCATGTTCACCTATGTGTCCTTAATGCTTAGGACCGTGATTATCAGGCTTCCTTTACCCCATCTTTCAATCTGGGGTTCTAAGACAGAGACCAGTGGCCAGAGAGTCTTAGATGCACCCAACTGAATGTGGAAGGTGAACCAGAGAAAGTGAAATGGGGCTCCAAAGTGTGGGGCCTGGGTGCTTTTGTGGTCACAAATGGGGAAGTCAGACTCTAGGGCTATCTGTGGAAGAAAGGGTGGAGTGAATACATATGCAAATAAACTGAGTTTGGGGCCTGTGGAGCTTGGGGTGCTACCAGGACATCTGGGAGAATGTAGCTCTAGGGACAGAATCTTCTAGAAGCAATGGCTAGTTGGAAGCCCTGGTTGCACATCAGATGACTGAGCGAGAGAAGGCAGAGATGAGAGGGAGAAGGGGAGATGCTACTTCTGTGCTCTTTGGCCTGGCATTTTGCTTCAGGTGGTGTCCCTGGAAAGGTCAGTGGTGTTCACTGCTGACGTCCCACGCACGCTCCTTGTTCTGGTTTCACTATTAATAGCTGAAGGAAGTGGTGGTGTTTGGCCTGGACAGAAGACTTTTGTCATTTATCACAATGAACACTCAGGGCTTTTTTGCTTCCTTCTTTCCTTTTTGGTGGGAAAATCCTTGGAAAACAGCTGTCAAAAGTTTATTTAGCAGTTTTGAAGGGAGAAAGGTTGGGAGTCAATGTTTATGGGTTGTCTACAATATAGTAGGAACTTGATAGAGTTGGTTCTTTGTAAACTTTATCAGAATCCTGTCAGGAAAGTCTCAGGACACACGTCTTATGGATGGGGAAATGGACCCTGAGAGAGGTGAGTGTGGCGATCTCTTAGTCAGTCAGGGCTGGCTAGGTAATTTGTGGGGCTCCTCGCAAAGTGAAAACATGGGGCTCATTGTTCAGAAAGCAAGAGAAAGCTTTTCGTTTCATCTACAGTCTTTCTTACCACCTGCCAGGGGGTTTTTACTTGCTCTTTGATGTTGAGTCCCCTTGGGAACAGGGATATATGCAGGGAGAGAGCAGACCCTCACAGGTGCCTGGGGCCACATCCGCAATTGGGCACACGGAGAAGGTACACTTGACCCCTACTCTCCTGCATTCAGGCTCCTGCTGGAGGCAAAGGGGGGCAGTGGTCATTAGGTGGCTGACAACCTGCCCCAGGGAGGTGGAGAAGCAGCAGGACGTGTGAACCAAGGCTTCAAGGCCCTGGTGCATGCTCCAGTGTCCCATTGGACTTCTCTCACAAAACACAAAAGCAAAGACAAAATTATTAAGAATTTCCAGACAGCAACTGCAGAGCATTAAACTCCAAGTGCAGGTCTTTCTGAGCCTAGGGCCTTGTGTGACTGCATCGGTCATATGTCCGTGCAGCCATGCTAGTAGTCAGGACACGGCAGAGTGCAGATTGAAACTCATCTCTTTCTATCCTTGGAATCATCAGATCCATTAGACCGATGGGAAAACTGAGGCATGGAGTGATTTTTCCCAAGGTCCAGACCTGGTAAATGGTAGAGCTGGTTTTTGAACTGACTGCACAGCTTGGAGCCACCACATCATATGGCTTCCAAAAGAGTGTGGTCTAAGCAAGGGCCTGGGGTGCCCCATTCCAACTATATTAGCATTGCTGTAGTCTCCAGATGGAGGCACCTGGTACTTTTTCTGTCTGTCTCAAAGGTGAGTCATGAGGCTGCAGTGTGAGATCACTGGTCTCCTCCTTGTAGGGAGGCAAGGTCCTAGAGTTTGGTGCTTTCTCTTTGTCCTTCAGGAAATAGTATGAATCTCTGCAGGTAAAGCAGCAGAATGCCATGCTCTTCCTTGGTTGCCAGGACATGTTCTTTGTGGTTTATTTCACCTCTTGGACCATCACTTCTTAGAGCTGAGTCAGGAAGGATGTAGTACATACTCTGCATCCCTGATCCCAAGCTTGTGGAGGGCACTGCTGATTGATCACTACACGTTGGGTGAGCCTGGGTCCAGCCTCAAAATCCTCTACACAGCACGCCACATAGACACTACTAGTTGGTTGGAGTTGTTCTAAGAGATGACATCTATTTGTTATTCTGCATCAGAATCATGTTGCTTGTCAGCCTCAGTAGGTAAGTGTAAAACATTATTTATCCCACCTGGGGATATTCTATCATCATTTCATCCCCTTTCAGTTCTGGGTGCTTAAGTTCAAGAGTGACTAACAGATGAGAGTGGGTCCAGAAGTAGGGGGCTGCAGGAGGAGAAGCTGGATGAAGAAGTTCAAGAGCCTTGGGCTCCTTGGCTTAGAGAGATCTGATGGGAGGTAGTATAGGTGACCAGGTGTCCTCCAGTAGTTGAAGAACAGGAGTCTTGTTGCAAAGTGATCAGGTGTGTGTTGCATAGCTCTACAAGGCAGAATTAGAGCCTCAAATAGCAAAAAGTCAGAATCACAGCAAACATTTGCACAGCTCTTCTCAATTTGAATTCGTTTATCAGAGTAGAAGTTTCAGAAATTAAGAGCATGACTTCCGTAACATACAGAATCAACATATGTCAAAGATTTATTTACTCATTTATCAGGGAACCAGTGAAACGATAAAGTCAGTTCAAAGAACGTATGGAGGCACTGAGTATTTATAAGTATTTAAAAAGGAATATTAAAATTAGATTGATAGGTTATATGTAAAACTGGTTAATGATCTACAAGGCAATAAAAAGCCATAAGCTTTGGGGATATCTTTTCTATCAGACGAATTATTTGCATCTCTAATAGGCAAGATTCATAAGTTACCATCTAAGTTCATAAGGTTTGATAGTAAATAGCAAAGACAAACAAGGATACATTCTGCTAGCTAACTAAATAATTCTTGGGTAAACTTGTCAAGCAATGTCCCAATATGACATTGAAAGGACATGCTGCCCACCTTTTTGCCTTATTTCCAAGTTTTAAATAATTTTGTAAAATGTTTATTCAATAAGTATTTATCCAGCTCCTATTATGTTCCACAAACTCTTCTAGATCCTGGAGATATAGAGTAGAAAACAAAGCAGACTACATTCTTGCTCACATAGAACTTATACTCTATTGGGGAGGGGGGGCACAGATGATAAATAAAGCAGACAAATATACAGTGTGGCAGATGGTCAAGGTGCTAAAAAGAGTGCTGAGGGGGTAGTGTTTTGTCTCAAGTATGATAATAAAATAAGGAAGGCTTCACTGAAAGCTGACATTTTAGCAAATACCTGAAGAAAGAGGGAGAGCAAAACTTAGAAATGTCTGGGAAAGAGCATCCTAGGCAGAGGAAGAGCTGTGCGAAGGCAAAGACCAGCAAGGAAGCCTGGAGTATCAGAGCTGTTTGTTATGGAAATTTTCAAACATATGTAAAACTAGAGAAAATAATAATCAACCCCCATTTACCCAACCTCAGTAATTATCAACATTCTGCTATCCTTATTTCATTTATCTCCTCACTTTTTTTCTCCTAAAGTACTTTAAAGCAAATTCCAGACTTCATATCATTTGTCTGTAAATATTTCAGTGTGTATCTCTAACAAAAAAAAAAACATGAAAAAAACATAACTCTAATATCATCATGCCTAACAAAATTAAGGGTAATTCTTTAATATTATCTAATATCTACCCTGTATTCAATTTTCCTTGATTTTCTTAGAAATGTAACTTTATAATTGATTTCTTCAAATGAAGCATCACACATTGCATTTGGCTCTCTTAAGTATCCTGCAATTCATAACACTTTTCCCTTCCCTGTTTTGAAATGCCTAGTAATTGTTTGAAAAGACTGGGAAATTTGTCTTGTAGAACTTCCCACCTGTTGGAATTGGCTCCTGGTTTTATTTAACATGCTCCTCTCTTCCCTGTCTTCCCTGCAAACTGAGAGCCCGGTTGGAGTCAGATTAGGTTTGGAGGTGGGCGGAAATGCTGTAAAGAGGGAGTGTAATTCCTCTGGCATTGCATCAGGAGGCACAGAATGTCACATAGCCCGACATTTAGGGAGATTAACAGGATTGGGTATTATCTGCCTGATTCATCCATTATAAAATTCCACAACCACTTTTCATTTAATTAGTTTAGCAGCATTTGATAATTGTTGCCAAGATTGATTATTTCTGTAGAGGCTATAAAATGGATATTTTCTAATTCTAAGATTGCTTCTGCACTTATTTACTCTAATTCTTCTAAACAGAAGGCTTTCTCTCATTCATCATTTTGTTGCCCTGAAATAGAGTCCAAAAAAGAAAGGCAGGATAGATGCTTGATTCTCGTCCTTTATTTATCATTTTACAGAATAATAAATTGGTTAATGCCCTATCACCCTCTAGAGAGGACCAATGAGTTCTTTTTAAAATATCATTATGAACTCATGGCTTTTTATGTATTTAATATGTATCAATTCTTTATGTCACTGTTCTATTTATTGTTTAAATTGTCCTGTCTTTGGCCCATGGGAGCCCCTTTAAGTTGGCTCTGTGACATGTTGATATGTCCCCACTTGTTTGTGAGAGCTTCTTTTCTTTTTGTCACAATAAGATGTCCCAGGCTCATTTTGTAAATGTCCTCCCCTAGAACTGGGGATTGGCCATTTCTACAAGGAATCCTGCTTACTTTTAGTAGAAATAAAATTTAGAGACTACATTAGATTATCATACTTTTTTGGCTGTTTTAGTTGACAGTGCTAGAAAATATATTCTTTTAAAGAAAGAGACAAATAAATGTTCATATTGATAATTCCAATTCAGTGAAAGGCACAAGGTTTTTATTTAATGTTTTTTTTTTCATAGAGAAACAGATTAGCCTCTACTTTATGTTTGTATTTTGTTTCTCTCACACTGAAAATCTTCGTTCCTAATGACATTAATATAATTATGTATTTGCTGACATATATATATGATTATATATGTCTACATATTATTATTACTAACAAAATGTCTAAATGTCTTTACAGTTCTTTTAGTCCTTAGGATATAGGATACATCCCACTAATGGTGTATAGTGATGTATAGAACATGTACCAGTGTCTGACGCCTTATTAAAGGGATAGCTCTGGCTGCTGTGTTAAGAACAGATGGTAGTGGGGCAAGGACAGAAGCAGGGAAGTCATTTAGAGGTTCTTGTAGTAGTTTAGATGAAAGACAACCGTGACTGGGATAGTGATGGATGGTGGTGAGAAGTGGATGGATTCTGGACACATTTTGAGAATAGATCCCATATGATTTGCTATGGACTGGTATATATGGGAAGTGAAAGTAAAAGAAGAAACAACAATGATTCCAAGATTTGTGGGCTGAGTTACCGGAAAAATGAATTGCTGTTTATCAAAAAGGGAAAGACTGGGGTGAAGCAAGTTGGGAAAGGAATCAGCAGTTTGGTTTTGTACATATTAGTTTTGCAATGTCCATCATCATCTAACTGGAGATGTTGAATAGGAAGTTGGTTCATATGAGTCTGCAGGACTAGGGAGAGGTCTGGGCTGGAGATATAAACGTGCAAGTTAACAGGGTGTGCAAATTCAGGGGAAGATGTTTCAGAAGGAAGAAGTGTAACCAACTCGTTCAAGTGATTCCGACTGGTCAAGAAGGCTGAAAACCGAGAATTGACCAACAGATTGATGATTTTGACAAGATCAGTTTTGGAGGAGGGGTAGTGATGAAAACCTGTCTGAAATGGAGCCAAGAAAAAAAATGGGAAGAGAGAAATTGAAACTCCGCACATAGACAACTCTTGCAAGGGGTTTTGCTGGATAGGAGAGCAGAAGTGGGGTAGTGGCTGGATGGATAAGGAGAGGTTCAAGATGGAAGAAATTGGGCTTGTTTGAGAGGTAGCTTCTTTAAAGTGGAAGCCATTTAAGTAAAGAATGCTTCTAGATTTCTGCAGTTTCCTATGATCTTTCACAATTGGCCTACCAATATCAGATTCAACAACATTTTTTTTCCCTTGGCAAGATTGGCCCTGCACTAACATCTGTTTCCAATCTTCCTCTTTTTCTTTTGTCTCCCCAAAGCCCCAGTACATAGTTGTGCATCATAGTTGTAGAGTTGTAGCTTTTCTATGTGGGATGCTGCCTCAGCATGGCTTGATGAGCGGTCAGTAGGTCCGTGCCCAGGATCTGAACCGGCGAATCCCGGGCCGCCAAAGCAGAATGCACGAACTTAACTGCTACACTACTGGGCCGGCCCCTCCACAACATTTTTTAAGTGACTCACCTATGGTCATTTTACCAAGATATTCAACTCAGTTTTCATAGAAAAAAATTTTTTCTCATTTTCAACTTACCTAATTTATTTATAAACACTTTAATTAAATTATATATTAAAACCAAAACAACAAGCATGAACATTTTTATGAATAGGTAAAGCAACAACCAAGTGAGTAAAAATGAAAGTTCTTGGGTATACTAGAGAGTAGCCCATTAATTGTGTAGAAGACAAACAACTTGCATAGAGAGAATGAATAGCGTTGGTTAAAACTGCAGTGACTCAGTTAAATAGGGGCCAGTCAAGAGATTTTTTGCAATAAATGAATTTGGAAGTGGTCAGTTATTTTTTCTTGCTATTAAACGAACCCCTTAGAAATAGATCAGGTCAGAAAAATACCAAGACAGAGTTTTCTTTAAATGAAGGATAGTGGAAGGAATGGATGCAAGATGCTAAGAACAAAACAGGAAACTGAATGATAGATAAAATCAAGAATTGCTTTCCTCTGTGTGTGTGTGTTTTGTGTGTGTGTGTGTGTTTCAAAGACTAAGGGCTTGGAAGGGCAGGAGTGATTATATTCATGGATTTTTGTAGGTGTTCTTAGTGAGGAGTAGGGGATTACCTTTTTCAACAAAATATCACGAGTAGATATCCACTCTGGAAGGAGGGGGTGATGAGAATCTTCTTTTTGAAGACAAAAAAGAAAGTAAAAGTGGAGGTCAGAAATTTGAAGGATAAATGGAGCAAGAGAATAACATTCTTTTTCCTTCCAATGATTCTTATTTTTTTCTTATTATAAAAGTAAAACATGCCCATTGTAGAACACTTGGAAAAAATACAAAAATATAGAAAATAATACAAAACCACTTTACCCCCAAAATGGAATTCTAAATAGTGGGGAATGCCACAATCTAAATGAGTAAGGAGACTCACAAATGGAAGATATAGAGCTGCTGAAATGGATGGCCTCAGCATAAGTAGTTTTATAGACATAATTCAAATTTCTTCTATAATCTGACCTTTAAAAAAATTGCTAAGCTCAGTTTTCCACTTCCTACTAGAATGGACCAAACATGATACATCCACATGGTAGAAAGTGATCTATATCTCTGGTCTTTGGATGCTTTGAAGCAGTTAGTAAAGCTTGATTTGAAGACACATTAGAAATTCCCTCAAGGCATATTTTTACTTGGCCATGATCCATATTTGCCTTGATATTGTTCAAATGTTTCTTTTCTCTTATGATGACTATCAAGCAAATAATATAAAGTCATTTCTGTCTTTGGCACCTCATGGTTTAAATATTGTGAAATTCATAATAAAATTGCTTCCCTCATTTTCTTGGTTCCTAGGAGTAAGAGTTTATTTATGAATTAACTTATCTAGAGCAGTGTCAAAGTTGGCAGTAATGAAATCTCCTTGGGAATTCTTCAAGAGTAAAGAAAGACTGAAAACATACTGGGTTGAAACTGGGAGAGATTTAAAACTACAAAGGAATGTTTGAGACTTAGATCAAAGAAAATTGATCACATTTTGGGGACCTATTTTTTCAAAGGTACTTTTGAAGCCCAAGATGTGAACATATCAATTTACAACTGAAGGCTGTACTTTTTGTATTAGCCAGGTCTAGTTTTCTTCATTCCTCCCGCTCCAAGGACTTCTTTTTCCTTCTTCTATCTTTCTCATTCCCCAGTCAATATCTCCTATGAACTTTTTCTTTTTTAAAATTAAACACGTTAAATTATGAAAATGTTAAACACACTGGAGTGTCCATGGAATAATATTACAAATTTCCATTTACTCACCATGCACAGTTAACAGACAATAAAACTTTTGTCATATTTGCTTCAGATCTTTTTTCTAGTTTTTAAAAAAATAACATGTTATAGATAAAATCAAGACGTCTCTCTCCCAATTTCTTTTTCTTCTTCCTCAGAGGCAAACACTGCTGCTTGCTTCACCTGTATCTTTCTAGAGATGTTCTCTGAATATATAAGCATATATTCATGTATTCTTTTTCCCTATACATTCTCTCTTCTGTTGCACTTTTTTTTTTCACTTAACAATGTATCTGATTATAGTGTAGTTCTATCTCATTCTAATAGTTACATAGTATTCAATTTTATGGATTTACTATTTCTAGACTTGTATTGATGGACATTTAGGTTGTTTAAAATCTTTTGCAATATATTACAAACAATGCTGCAATAAAATCCTTGTGCGTGTAAGATAGAATCCTAGGAGTGGCGTCGCTCATTTAAAGGATATGTCACTTTTAGTTTTGAAAACAGCCAAATTTCTATTTATGAGGCAGTGCTCTTCTTGAAGTAGCAAGTTTCTTTTTCCTCATACCTTTACTCCACAGGGTGTTTACAAACTTTCTGGTTTTTACCAATCTGATAAGGGAAGATGTTATTGCAGTTTCATTTTAATTTGTATTTACTTCCTGTTTTTGTCCTGTTGAATAAACTTTGCTTTTTCCAGTTAGCAATATGTTTTGATGATTTTAATTACATTATTTCAGGGATTTATCCACGTTGATAGAGGAGCTCTAGTTCTTTAATTTTAACTACTGTGTAGTATCATATTGAGTGACCACACCCCATATTTATCAATCTATTCCCTTATTCTCAGTTATTGCTGGCAAAAACAATGGTAAAACATACATGTCTACTTGTGCATATGATTTTTTCTAAGTGTTTAACTAGAGGTAGAATTACTAAGTCACGGAGTATGCCATTGTCACCTTTACTGGATGTATTAGTTTGCCAGGGCTGCCATAATGAATTACTGCAAACTAGGTGGCTTAAACAATAGAAATTTATCGTCTCACAGTTCTGGAGGCCAGAAGTCTGAAATTAAGGTGTCAGCAGGGTTGGTTCCTTCTGAGAGCTGTGAGAAACAATTTGTTCCAGGCCTCTCTCCTAGCTTCTGGAAGCCTCAGGCATTCCTTGCCTTGTAGATGCTGTTCTCTCAATGTCTTCACATTGTCTTCCTTCTGTGTGTGTCTGTCTCCGTTTTCAAATTTCCCCATTTTATAAGGACCTTGGTCATCTTGGATTAGGGCCCACCCTTATCCTCATCTTAACTTGATCATCTTCAAAGACCTTATTTCCAAATAAGGTCACAATCTGAGGTGCTTGGGGCCAGGACTTTAACATCTTTTTGGGGTACACAATTCTTTCCATAACACTGAATATACCAGTTAAGATGCTTTTGGCCTCAAGTAAAAGAATACTCAACTGAAAGTGGTTTAAAGCAAGAGATTTTTATAGACACACATAGCAAGACATCCAGAAGTGGGGTGGTCCTAGGGTTGGTTCAGAATCTCACTAATGGCCCAGGATCTCTCCTTTCACTCCTCCATCTCCCTAAGGCTTTCATCCGTAAGCTTCTTATCAGAAGATGGCTGCTGCAGCTCCAGGCAATATGTCCTTAGAGAACGATACCCAAGAGCAGAGAGCAGGAGGATGGGCAGGAAAGCCCTTGTTGCAAATCTCTCTTTACCAGGGAATAACGTCTTTGCCAGAAGTCCTCCCTCAACTGTCTCTGTGCTTCCCCTTGAATATCACTAGCCAGAATTGAGCCACATGATGCCCCAAACTAAAAAGGAGGCTTGCAAAGTAAGTATTTGATATTTTGAATCACTATGATAGGAGTTGTGCCTGCCAATAGGGAAGAAGGGTGAGGAAAATCTATTTGGGTAGGGAACTAACAGTGTCTTCCACAATCCATACGGCTAAATTGGTCTCCAAATTGTGGTATCGATTTACTTCCACAAAAGCAATGTGAAAGTCCTTTTGGCTGTGCACCCTCACCATTACTTGGAATTGTCCAATGTAAACTATTTTGCCCATCTCTTTGTAGCTTTAATTTTCATTTCCCTGATTACTAACACAGTTGATCATCTTCTTATGTGTTTATTGGTTATTCTGGTGTCTTCTGTGAAATGCCTATTTTTGTCTTTTGCCTGTTTTTATATTGAATTGTCTGTCTTCTTTACACATTCAAGATTCTAATTTGTTGTCAGTTATGTGGATTGCAAATATGTTCTCCCAATCTGTGGCTTGACTCGCCTTTATTTATCGGTCACTTGTCTTACTGAAGATTTTAACGTAACCATATTTATCTTTTCTTTTATGGATATGCCTTTTGTATCTTATTTAAGAACTTATCTTTTACCAGAAGGGACAAAAATGGCCACATATATTCCAAAAATTTTAAACTTTTCTTTTTATTATTAACTCTTTTATTCATTTGGAATTTATCTTTGTGCATGGTGTAAGGTAGGAACACAGTTTCATTTTTTTCCAGCAGATAGATAGTCAGTTGTGTGAGTACTGTTTATCAAATAATCCATCCTTTACCAGGGGCTTTATAATGACACTTCTCTTGCATACCAGGTTTATTACTTTGTTTCTGGGCTCTCTAACCTCTTTTATGATCCATTTATCCCTATACCACTGCTATATTGTTTAAATTACTAATGTCTTGATATCCAGTAGAGTATGTCTGCTGTCTGTTACTAGAGATTACTTTACATTTTTAAGAAGTTCATATAAATGGAATCATATACTATGTACTCTTTTGTGTCTGGCTTCTTTCATGGCTTCGGCATGATGTTTTTGAAATTCATCCCTGTTGCTGTATGTTTCAATAGTTTGGTCTTTTTTATTGCTTTACAGTAGCCCATTGTGTGTATATACCACAATTTGTTTATCCATTTACCTGTTGATGGACATTTGGCTTGTATTCACTTTTTGGATATTATGAATGAAGCTGCCAAGAGCACTAGTGTACAAGTTATTGTGCGTACGTATGGTTTTGTTTTTCCGGTATAAATACTAAGTGAAATAGCTGAGCCATATGATCTAGCTGTTTAACAAACTACTGAACTGTTTTACAAGGTAATTGTCTAGTTTTACATGTCCACCATCAGTGTATGAAGATTCCAGTTGTTCCACATCCTTGCTAACGCTTGATATTATCAGACTTTTAAATTTTAGCCATTGTAAAGGGTTTGTAGTGGTATTTTTATAGTGGTTTTAATTTGCATTTCCCTCATGACTAATGATGTTGGGTGTTATCTCATGGGCTTATTGAATTATGTATTCAAATCTCTTGCCAATCGTAAAAAATTAGGTTTTTGTTCTTATTATTGAGTTGTAGGAGGTTTATGTATTCTGAATAAAGTCTTTTGTCATATGCCTACTGGAAATATTTTCTTTCATTTTGTCACTTGCCCTTTCATCTTCTTTAATGGAGTCTTTTAAAGAGCAAAGTTTTTTTTTTATCTTGATGAGGTTTAATTTGTACGTTTTTTTCTTATATAGCTTGTACTTTCTTATATAGCTTATACTTTCTTATATAGCTTGTACTGATCCCTTTCTAGTTAATTTTTATGTAGGGTGTGAAGTAAGGGTCGACTTCGTTTTTTTTTCAAATATGAAAACCTATTTGCTATAGTGTTATTTATCGAAAGAACTTCCTTTCTCCATTGAATTGCTCTGACATCTTTGCTGAAAATCAATTGACTGTGTGTCTTAGTCAGTTCAGGCTTCTATAACAGTATACTATAGCCTATGTAGCTTATAAACAACAGAAATTTATTTTTTATAGTTCTGGAGTCTGGGAAGTCCAAAATTAAGACACTGGCAGATTTTGGGTTCTGGTGAGAACCACCTCCTAGTTCATAGACAACCATCTTCTTATTGTGTCCTCATATGGGCGAAGGGAAGAGGAAGCTCTCTGGTGTCTCTTTCATGAGGGCTCCGCCTTCCTGACCTAATCACCTTCCGAAGGCCTCACCTCCAATACCATCACATTGGGGAATAGATTTCGACATGTGAATTTAGGGGGGCACAAACATTCAATCTATAGCACCATATAAATATGGGTTTTTTTCTGAACTCTATTTTATTCCCTTGATCTGTATCTATTCTTTCACCTCTATCACATTTTCTAGGTCACTGAAGCTCTTCAGTAAGTTTTGAAGTCAAGTAATGTAAGTTCTCCAGCTTTTTTTCCTTTTAATTGCTTTGGTTGCTTAGGTTGTTTGTATTTTCATGTAAATTTTAGAATCAACTTGTCAATATTTTAAACAAAGCATGTTGAAATTTTGATTTGTGATCTGTTAAATCTATAGACACATTTTAGTGATATTTACCATCTTAATATTGAGCTGTCTAACCCATGAATATGGTATACCTCTCTATTTCTTGAGGTATTTTAAAATTTCTCACAACAATGTTTTTTTTTTCAGAGTACGTCTTGCATATATTTTGTTAAATTTATAGCTCAATATATCCTATTTTTGGGGCCGGCCCGGTGGCGCAAGCGGTTAAGTGTGCGCTCTCCGCTACAGAGGCCCGGGGTTCGCCAGTTCGGATCCCAGGCGCGCACTGACGCACCGCTTGTCAAGCCATGCTGTGGCGGCATCCCATATAAAGTGGAGAAAGATGGGCATGGATGTTAGCCCAGGGCCAGTCTTCCTCAGAGAAAAGAGGAGGATTGGCAGATGTTAGCTCAGGGCTGATCTCCTCACACACACGCACAAAATATATATATATATATCCTATTTTTGTATTCTTATAGTTTTATTGCTGTTATATACAGTAGGATATATAATATATAACATATTAGATATTAATATATCTATATATAATTAATATATATTAATATATCTATATATAATTAATATATATTAATATTTAGACAGAAACAAGTTTGATGTGTTTGAGAAATGGAAAGAAGGACAGTTTGGCACATAGCGGGTGAAGGGCAGAGGAGAACAATTTGAGGTCAGAGGTAGCCAGGGATCATATGCTCATCTAGTTTAGGCATTTAAATTGTTTTCTTGCATGTAGTTCCAAAAATATGCAACCTTACACAAGAGCAGATCCCTATGTGATACATCCCTGTAGCAACCACACAATTCTTTATTCTTATCCCTTATTTAATAGCTGTAATTCCCAAAGGACCGAAAGCTTTGGAGGGTAGGGGCTATGTCTTCTTAACCGCTGTTTCCTTAGAGTATACCTAACACTCTGCCTGGCACCTCCAAGTACTCTGTATTTAGTGAACAAAAGAATGGAAATATAAACAGGTAAAGTTGTATTTTTTAATATAAATATATTTTATAAGTTCATATTTATAACATTTGGATATTATAATAATGAAAAGTAAGTTTTAATGAGTATAAGAATTTGAAGTAAGGGTTTACAAGTGACTATCACAGAATGATTCAAACCTCAGTATTAAATTTCTTTTGCTAATTTGTTTTGCTTTATAGTTTCAGAAAAATTTTCATTCCAACAGATAATTAGTAAGGAACTGGTTTGCTTAGTATTCTAGGAGAAGACATGCTCAGGCTTGAAATGAGGATGAAAGGTGAGGCATGGAAGGATAAATTTAGGGATATAGTTTTTTTTTTTTTTTTTGGTGAGGAAGAGTGGCCCTGAGCTAACATCTGTGCCCACCTTCCTCTATTTTGTATGTGGGTCCCCACCACAGCCTGGCTTGATGAGTGGTGTAGGTCCACACCTGGGATCTGAACCTGTGAACCCGGGCTGCCGAAGCAGAGCACGCCAAACTTAATCACTACGACACTGGGCCGGCCCTGGGATATAGCTTTTTTTAATGATACATTTATAATATATTTAAATGCAGGCAATATTTCCCAAGATCCTCCCCAAAATAAATTATCTGACACAAAAGCAAAAAAACTAGGAATCAATAACAAAAAGATAGGTATCCTCGTCCCTTTTCATTTAGAAATTAAAATAGCTCTTGACACGACTTCCTCGGTGATAATTCAAATGGTCCATTATCAGTCTTCATCTTCCTTGACTAATCAAGAGCATCTGACACGGCAATCTCTTCCTTCTGCTTAATATACTTTCTTTCCTTGGCTTCCAGCATAACCCATCCTTCTGCTTTTTGTCCTACACGTCTGGTTGCACCTTTCCAGTCTTTGCTGGTTTCTTCTCCCATCCTCCTATGTTGGACTGCCTCAAGGCTCAATCCATGGTCATCTTCTC